AAAAAAAACCACCGGATCGTAAAATTTACAATAAACAGACATTAAGGTTGAACGTTTAAAATTTTTTTCCGCATACACATTTGTACACGTACGAGACTATTAAACTACAAATTGGTTTGGCAATTTAGAAACTTTAAACGTTCGCATTACACATTTTTTTTTATCAGTATTACTTAAAAAAATAGTCTATTAAAAACAAAGCACATTATTATTATGTTTCTTATTCGAAATGGCGTTCTTTGTCGTCGTCGTACCACGTGACCGTAATATATTTTGTGTATGTCATCCGACGTTATTATCACGACCGGCAACAAGGTTTGTATTTAAAATGAAAAAAAAAAGTCTATTACATAATAATGCGCGTACAGACAAAAACGGCATTGTTGTTTTTAACCACAGCGGCGGCATAAATGTTAGGTATACCTATTTATATATAAACGTATACGATTGTCTTTTTAGTTTCATTGACCCAATATATTGTATTTACACGTGCAGCTAAACTATCTCATTTTACTCGGTCGATTCTTGTGATTTGGAATAAAACGTTTTTAAGTAGGTACCTATGTAACAATAGTATAGGTATAAATTATTGTCACTTATCACGACGTACTCTCAACAAATAACTTCTTTTATTTTTTTTTATTTTAGTGAGTATTTAAAAAACCGCTTTATGTCGACCCGCATAACATAGGTACGTCGTTTTTGTTTAATTCTCAGAAAAACATTTTGAACTATATTATATGAACATTTAAATAATTGTAAAACAAATACCCATTTAGTATTTATAATATAGTCACTAAAAACTATGAAAAAAAAAACGTATATTCGAAATCACAACAATCGATCGATAAATAATTGAACACCTTGCAAGTTTACATGCGTGTTAAGTATAGATATATAATATTTATATAGGTACGTATAACTAGAACTGCACATTTTATATTATACTAAATCTGCATTATTATGTAATATAAACTACTTATATAGTTATTTATGATCACATAATATTATACCTACCTAGTCATATTCCAAAAGGTTTTATTTTTCTCGTTGTGATCCTTCCGAAAATGGAGTACCTACGTGAATAATTTACTTTACCTACCGATATATTATAATATTCATACTATACAGCGACACCATTTCACATCTTCTCTTTGAAAGTTTGAAACATTAAGCATTTATTTTTCGTTTGTGTGAGTGTAAAAATATAAATTATTTCGGATCGCCAGAAGCTGAAAACGAGCAGATGCCTATAAATATGCCAGATACCTATGTGTATAACATAATTAATATTGTACCTATGTATATTATGTACTATTATATTATGTCGTGGTTAGGTTAAGTTATAGGTTGTTTTTAAATTATTAAAATAAACAAAGTCAGTATATTGTGAAGGTATAGTTTACACACAACTAACATTAGGTGTAAAAATTATTATTATATTTTGTAAATTAAGTTATTAACATCATTGATTAAATAAAAAAGTTAAACCCAAAAAAGCAGAATAATAAATTACGTCCGTAATACATAAATGAAACCAGATTAATTAAAATTAATTTTTTTTTCCCTGTGAGATTTAGAAAATGTGACTAATATATTAAAGTGATTTTTTTTTTTTACCATCCGTCTGTTATAAGACGTCTATCCTTCTCTATACGCATCATTTGTGTGCCATTAGACCGTTCTACTTACCGTATCATCCCGCGGCAATTTTATTTTTAAGCCCTATACAACATAATTACTATTAGCTCGTATCCGTAATAATTATTATTACCACTGAAATTTCCTCTCAGACGATCGTTATAAAAACGAGAGCAAACACGAACATGGGCACATTTTTGCATCGAACTACCGACGTGATGAGTTCTGCCTATATTGGACGTTGATGACGACGACGTCAGCCATCATTTAATGCACGTTCAAAGATATCATAAATATTATTTATTTTTTTTTTTTGCATTACCTTACACGCATCGACTCCCATCGGCTACCACTAATACATAATATAATATAATAAATTTTATTTATGTGCATAACACGTCGTGGCAAGTCGAATGCCGCTTAATGTACGACTGCTGCAGAAATCACAATAATGTGTTAAATATTAAAATAATAATATTCATGTATTATATTGTATTCATGAATCTGCTATCGTATAATAAGCGCTGGAAAATCGAAAACAATACAAATGTATTTAGGATAAACAACAACATTCCGCACACCACATATCGGAGTTGTATAGGAAACTGCTGGTCGTCGCTTCTTCCAATTTTATATTAATCAGTAGGTAATATAATATGTCGCCATTTCCACGTACAACCCATAGTCGAACACCACAGCGACAAAAATCTGTTAATTTTTTTTTTTATATACTTGCTCGTTTTGACATTTCCGTGATTTCTCTTTTCCCAAAAGACCTTCGAGTGCACGAAATCGTATAAACGCACACAGCGAAGGATGCGGAGGAAAAATTCGATTGAACCTATTCTATATACATTGTAGGTATTTGTTTATATTATGCTTTATAGAACGCGTCTATATTGCAGCCGTATATTGTATAACGTGCAGGATAAACGATCAGCGATTCTTTAAAATAAAATAAAGTAGCATTTTTATCAATGCAGGCAGTTGTGTTGAAATCCGTACTCGTGAGTAACATCTGCAGATGTTATATAAAATATAGTGAGCCGTACACGGCACACATTTTTTAGGCCCTGGAGCATAATGTATAATAGTAGTAGGTATAATAGGTACGCAGTGTATGAAGAATAAAAAACGAACCAAATAGAGTTTCCTTTATATAATCTCGTGTATTTATTAAATTGTTTTTTCTCATGTTAGGTATTTTTCTTTTAACAAATAAACCACGTCCTGAAATTAGGATAATTACAAAAAAAAAACTTTTGTACAGGCTAAAAAAAAATAATAATATATATATATGTCTAACGTCTAATTTACAAATAGAATGCTAACATTACGTGTAGTATCTAAAAATAAATATTACAAATACAATATAGTTATATATTTCATTCGTTTTAAAATGTTATTCAAAACAAAAAAAAAGTTTAAACGATAACGAAAAAAATGGAAAAATATGTCAGAGAATTATTAAGGTGTATCACAGGCCGACCATTTTATTGTTTGTAAAGAAAATACAATTTATTATCTAATGTGTACTCGGTGTGTATTTATTTATTTTCGTTTTTTTCCTCGACCTATTATCGTTACTATTAGGCCTGTGAGTGATTATTCCGAACGAAGCCCTCCCCCCTCCCCGTGAACCCGTTGTAGATATTTTGCGCTATCGTAAGAAAAAAAATATAATATATTATTATTTATATAATATGTATGTTTAGCTCTTTGGCCCATTATCCAACCAGACTAGATAAAAATTACACAATTTAAACAGACACACCTAATAAGTCGTAAATATGTATAATGATAAAATTATATAGGAATGTACACTTTTATGTATATATATATATCATGTAGGTATTATTATGATTTATGACGATGATGATGATAAGATGACGACGATGAATCGAAAGAAAATGTAAATAATTAATTTTTTTGTCGTTTTTTTTTTTCCTATTTTCTTTTTAACAATAACGTCTACGTTTGGTATCAGACGAAAATAATTGTCGGTCATAACACGTTCACAGTTTGAAATTGATTCCAATAAAAACAAAAAAGGGTAGGTAAAATTTTCATTTTTATACATATAAGGAACTTATACAGTATTTTCATACCCCCTGACTGTTTTGTTATAATATTATATTATTATTATTATTGTATTATATATACTGTAAAAGGGCTACAGTCTTTTATTCATATAATTTTTTTTTGAAGATATTATATTCTTTCAGTCTTTACGCAAGAAATTTATTATAATACAATATATTATTAAATATACCCTTGGAGAAAACGGTGGTTGGTATTTTTCTCGATTTATCGAAAAACGTTGAGTAGTTAATCTTTCGTGCGTTTTCTTCTTTTTATTTATTTTTTAAAATTTTTATTATCACAATATTTCACAGCCAACACAACAAAAAGCGACACGCACGAACTATATAGAAGAAGAAAAAAAAAATTGGAATCATCATAGTAATATAATGTAATATTATAATAATATAATATATGTACACGACGACGACGCACGTTCTAGATACCGTCCGTGCGTCGTATTTCGAAAAAATAAATTAAAAAAATAAACATACAGAATAATATTATATTAAACGTGTACCTACGTTCCGGACGTCCGGTGGCCGTGGGGAGGGGGTGTCAGCTAAAAACAAAATCTCACGTTTGACAACTTATTACTGCGCGGCGGACACACCACGACACCCCCTCCACCACACCAGGGTGGTGGGCCGGACGCCGTTTTCACTGCACGCGCATACATAAATAATATTCATATTATAAAATATAATTATACAATATAAAATATGTTTGCGTGTGTGTTTATATTTATCATGATTATTATTATTATTATTGCTATTACAACCGTACATGAACGATATAATGACAATAATAATAATACGATCACAACACAATATTACACACATTGTGAAAACTTGAACGACTAATACAATATAATTATATTTTTTGTTTTTTTTTTGTTTTTTGGTTAATGATATTATTATTATCGTCGTTATATTATATATTATATTATATTACCGTGTTTGCGGTCTACAACTATGTATAATATTATTATTTTGTCTATACACGACACGGCGCTAAACGCGCGAGCACATGACATATTATTATTATTATATTAGGTACAAAATTATAATGATAACACATATTATACTCAGGTGTATAGTATATTATTATTATTATTATTTTCACCTCACAAGTCCAATATAAGTACCTAACATTATTATGTTTAATATTCTCTTCTAGTATAATATTCTTCTCGGATCTGCTCGATCCGAACGTGGTTTTTTTTAACAGTCTAACTATCACAAAATACAATAAAAATATCATCGTAACTTCGACGCTCAGAACATGTACGTGGGCGTCAGGATGTTGTTGATCGGGTCGGTGATGCGTCCCAACGTTTTCGTCGGTTTGCCACCGTACTCGTTGCGCAACACCGCGGCGATGGTACCGTTGAAACCCCACAGCTGAGGTGTTGGCGGTTCGTTTTGCCTCGACTTGTGGTACTCTTGGTGTTGTTGTTGCTGCTGCTGTTGTTGTTGTTGCTGCTGCTGCTGCTGCTGCTGCTGTTGTTGATGGTGATGATGGTGATGGATATGTTGCTGCTGCTGCTGCTGTTGCTGTTGCTGCTGCTGCTGCTGCTGTTGTTGGTGATGGTGCTGCTGCTGCTGTTGCTGATGATGAAGGTGTTGATGGTGTTGCTGCTGTTGTTGTTGCTGCTGCTGCTGCTGCTGTTGCTGCTGCTGGTGGTGATGGAGGTGTTGTTGTTGTTGTAAATGAGGTGGTTGCGGCAGGTGTTGTTGTTGTAGTTGTTGTTGGTGAAGGTGGATATGGTGTGGCTGTGGTTGTTGTTGTTGTTGTTGTGGCACCGACGGCGGTTGTTGGGCTTTGCGCTTTAATAATTTCGCCTGGCAGCAAGAACACCCTTTCGGCACTAAACATGGACAAAAAATAAAAAACGCCATCAGAATACGTTTTTTTTCTTTACATTTTTTTTGCATCGTTCTTTCTTTTAATTAAAACTATTTGATCCTTTTTTTAGTTCCCCTTTACTTTTAATTATTTACTAGAGCTCGAAGAAACCCCGACGAATTAATAAAAAGGAGACCCTTATTATATTTATAAATGCTATATATACAATGTTATGCATTTCGATCCACGAAAACGGATAGGAAGGTAAGTTTGTCGTCGTCAGAAAACTTATTTTATACCTGTAGACTATTCAACGGCGAAAAAAGTTTTATTTCTTGTCACGAGATAAAAGAAACGAAAAAATATTTTACAGACAACAAAATTATGACGGATTCGGAGTAACGTACCTATATAGTTTTTCTATTCTCAGACAAAACGTGAGTACTTAAAACAAAAGATGGTTCGTTGGATAGATAATTTCTTCTATATATTACGTCAGCTCGACGTTTTTTGATTTTAAACGTATAATTCTATACAATAATATCAAAAGTACCTGTAACCCAATAAATATAATTTCATGATAGAATGTGTTCATCAAGTCGTGTGTAGTGCGGCCCTCAAAAACTGTTTATCTGTCTTATATACGTCATATTTCCAGCACAAACGACTAACGATTTTACTCGAAGATACTTTGAAACGCGCTAATTAAAAACAAAATTCAGCAGTCAAGACGAGAAGAATTAATTTTACGTCAGACGAAGTATTATTAATACCTACCTATAGAAGTATTATACCTCCATCAAAATTATGAAAACGTAGTGTATTTTAATTTGAATGGAAAAAGTTTTTTTTTAAATTATTTTACTTTAAATTACCGGCTAAAAAGAAAATATTTTCTCAAGACTAGGTACGAGATCTTAAAGTTTGCATTGCTTTTTCAACCTTAAAAAAGAAAAATACTGCGTCATCTGGAAATCATTGTTTTAAAAACTTTTTTGCGATTAAATTGAATCATAATATTATATATATATAGGTACCTACATTAAACGAGCTACGACCTACTGAATTATTCATACACCCTTTTAAATCAAATATTTAAATATAACATTATTAACGTCCGACCGAAGCACGATAACACAATAATTATTGTGCTCGCAAAATTATAGAATACCGCTGCAAAAGTATATATAATTATATACATTCTCAATTATTATAAACTTATAGCGCCGTTCGATTGAATATCTAAAATAATTTTTTTCACTATATATATAATACCTACAATATCGTTTTACTATACATATAATATTAATAGGTAACGTATTATACTGCAATACTGCATCTACTAAAATGTCTACTCAAAGAATCTTATTATTTAGACGCACGCAAGAATAGTATGTTCCGTTGTAGACTGCAAAGGTGTTTGGTGCAAACGGCGCTCAGCCTTTTCCTTGGCTCGTGCTGCCGAGACGGATTATGCATAATATCATATTATATTATAAATGGAAACAAAACATTTTAAAATAAACCAATTTAATGTTCTAATGCATAAAAGTTCAGTAGCCCATCCAAATATATATATATATATATATACGTATCAACTGATGTTTATCTATACGAGACGGAAGAATTGGAGAACCAAGATTGTATATAAGGCCGAAGGGGAGAAAAAAGCACGAGAAGAAAAACAATGTAAATGTAAATTTTTCTTGGGCGTAACAATACAATAACCCGACACGATGACACGTCTCTAAAGTCCAAGGAACCAACGACTACGGTGTGCTGCAGATGTACGGGTCGTATATGATTTCATAGACGTTTTATTGGCTAAAATACTCGATTTTTATAGAGGACTACGACCGCGACTGACCTATTTCCGTTCTTTTTACATATACGTAATTGATAGTGTGTGTGTGTGTGTGTGATGTATGTTTTTTCGCTATTTTATGTATAGATCAAATTTTAACATCAATGCCATATTTACAGCTCCGCATAGAACGATGATGGCGTTCCAATGATTTAAAATAATCATTAAGCCCTATTCTGGCCTTGTACGATTTTCCAGCCACCAATAAATGACTTAAAAACCGGTGTACAGTAAAATACGACGCGTATAAAATTGTATATGATGTTTTATCGTGAGCATAATACGGGATGTAAGTTTTACTGATGAAAAAAAATGCTTTTCACGCGTAATGGCCCGTAGTCCGTATATATATGTACATAGAAGTCGTTGGTGGGTGCAGTTTATATTTTATACATTTATAATAATTTATATACATATATGTCATAAACGTGCGAGCACAGCCCTGTATAGCCATCATACACGAGCACAATACACACAATATCTATAATACGCGAACATTGAAACGTCGGTCGATCGCCCGTTTTTAAAATTATCATTTTTCCGGTCCGACGGTTTATCGCCATTTATATAATATAATAACAAAAATATTATACACATAAAACACACATACGCACACACATTCCGTGGACCACATAAATATTATCGCCGTCCGTATAAAGGAATGACCTCTCTCTCTCTCACTCCTTCCCACCGGTAAAATAATAAATATAATATGTATTTGAGTGTATTGTATAAAATATGTACATCGATCGTGTGTGTGCCTGCAGCGTACGAGTATTATAAATGTGTAACGATTGTAAATTATTGCAATAAATCGCTGGGCCGATTGTCGTCGTCGTCGTCGTCGGGGCGGCGTAAACTGGACCCGCGTGTAATGGTTATTATATTATAAAAATAAACGACGCACGACCAACCGATGGGGGAGGTGTCCATGGATTCCGCGACGAAGAAATATCAATGGCGGGGAAAAAAATTGATCAAAATTTTCAATAAAGGGCGCATATGCATTATCAATAGGTACGCCTCTTTTGTCGACGCGTCCTTTCTTCCTTTTAGCACGGGGTCGTGTTCTCTCTGTATGTGGTGGTGCACGTGAATATGTGCCCGTTAGCGTTTCGGGGGACCCACCGGGGGATTTGCGCAAAACGAAAATAAACCTTTGAATATTGTAAAGACGCAGACGTTGTATCGTCGTGCCATTATTATTATTATTATTTATTATATGAACGCGAATACGCCATCCGAGGACGATAAATCGAACTTCATTATACGCTGCACACGTTCGACGAGAAAACCTGCAGGCGAGCAAAATGAAAATATACAAACGCGTCTAATTGGTGAAAAAAATTGAACGCGAATAGACGTTAAAAATAATAATCGAGAGATACCGCCAAGTCCTTAGAAAAACAACATAATCGCATAATAATAATAATAATATAAAAGCAATTTAGATCGGTCGTATCGATAAACGTCGGTCGAGTTGGGCGGCGGATCGCGGGAGTAGGTTACCGGCAGTCGTAATCCAACCGACGAATTCGCTTATTATTATATTGCCTATACGTATAAAATAATATAAAACATATTATAATAACAATAAAAACGTATAGAGAAATCGTTGTACGTTGTCGGAATAACAGCTATACCCAGATACCATCGGAGAACAATTAAACGTTTTTTTATCTCTGTCTCTCTGTCTTCCCTCGAGTGGTTCCCTGCGAGAGTTAAATAATTAAAAAAACACCGTGTGACGACATCGACAAAAACAAAATAAAAATCGAAAATTCTGTGAAACCATTCCGAGGGGGGTCGTCGAGTCACGAGCGCACACAGTAATGTGGTCAGACCGCCGCACGTCCTTATATATTATTATGCGATAGACGTACAAGCTGCGTGTCGGGTTTCCCGTCGTCGTCGATGTCATGTACGAACAGGAACTCCAAAGACGGCCATCGCCGGTCGACCGACTGTTTATAATGATATGCGCGCATTTACTGATACGATATAGTAATATTACGAGTATACTTATAATATACACCCCATACCACACCACTGCGGGTTTCTCTCTCATAGTTCAACAACAAGATGATATTATAAGCGCGCATACGATAATAATATAATTGACCGTTGTGGACCAAACCCAACCTCGTCTCCGCCGCAAACACTTAAACGATATTTTACAATAAATTACTGGACCGATATCGATTTTAATGAGACCCAATTGACGACCGAACGCAGACGGAAAACTAATAAACGACCCGGACGGCCGCTGCAGGGTTGCGGCGACGACGGCAGGGGGAATTGAAGCAAATCGAGAGCGTGCGACAAAAATTAGGGTCAAATGCTATTTATTATGTGTATATTATAATGTATTATTAATATACATATACACAGTGTCGAGTACGTTATACCGACAGACCGACGGCGTGATTTTTTTTTTTCATTATTCTTTTTGCTGAAAGACGAGTGCGGGAATATATTTTTTGTCGACAAATGATGTACGTCATCGTATGCGGGATTTATGTTGAAAAAAATAAAAACGTTTCGCGTGTGGCTGCGGTGGTGAGATGGAAAAAAAAGTAAAAACAAGAAACTCTACAGACTGTTCTCGACACCGTCGTACCCTGCACACCACTCGCACACACTCTCGAGCGTTTCAAAAAAACGTGAATATTATGTGAAGTGAATATTCTCAATATTATGGTCGTCTGTGAAGCGAATCTTGCGACACAATATTTTCTCGTCGACGCGATGCTGTTCGATTTTGTTTTCAGCTCCGTCATATAATATTATATCATTATATATTTTTACACTTTTATACGTACGTAGCGGAAATAAAGTCACTCGCTTCTGTGGCCTATATTACGTTTGTGTGCGTGTGTTATTTATGGTATAAGAGTATAGTCGAACATACGAGTTATATTATTATTATACCCCACGGAGGCACAACGGAGAGCTCGCGGGATAGGGGGGGAAAACCGTTTGCAAATTATACTGCGCGCCTTTACTGCACTGGTCTATATATATAATACCGGAAAATCGGTTACTGCCGCAGTAGATTTCGTTGTAAACAAAAACTTTACAACTAATACTACTACACGGCGATAAAAACGGACGCAGCGAATTTCTGGGAAAAAAAATTCCGCCGACTGCGAGCATATAAAATCATTTTATAGCACGATAAAAAAAAATTAAAAATATATGATGAAAAAAATCGGTTCTCTCGCCTATTATCCATGTAAAATGTGAAAAAAAGTAAGTACTTTGTCTATGCTGTACACACAAGCAAACATATATTTCGAAAATGTTTCAAAATTCACAAGAAAAAAGACTGTATAATATATTGTTGCAATATTGATCTGGACGAATTTTAGAAATATTCTGATAATACGGGTTTGAAAATATAAATATTTTTCAATAATCGCTGTGTGGGATAATAATGGGAGGAAAGTATAATATTGTAGTAAAAAATTCGTTCCTCCCGTCGTCGTCACCATATGGGTACGACGCGCCCGACACGCTCCTACAATTTTTTTTCTCCACATTATATTATTACATACACTATCTTATCGTTTATCCGTCGCCTTTTTCGAAGGCGATAAATTTCGACACGACTCCCCAGGCTCCCCCCCTCTCCACCGCCACCCGTCATTGTGTAACGTATATTATACACACTCAGCTAGCTCTAGCGCATTGTCGTCGCACGCGGGACGCGAACGTATGCGAAGCCATTAACAACAAGTGACAAACACACACACACACGCTCGCGGGTGTGTTTGAAAAGGATGACCGAACGTGTGTGTGTGTGTGTGTGTGCCGTAATATCTGAATACAATGAGCGTATACACCGTATCCGTTTCAGCCGTCTGACACCATTGTGCGCGTGTATCGGCGGCGGCTCGCGCGTTATGCATGAGTCATGAGCAAAATTTCAATAGACACACACATACTATATCTACCTATATATATGATATTATGCTATGTACACAAAAACACACATACTGTTATTATTATTTTTCTTCCCGCAGACGTGTTAGAATAATAATACGATGATGACGGGTCGATGATGATAATTATGACGAAAAAAAAAGACCATTATCATCATTAGACAGCTGTTGCTGCGGTCCGAGCACATGCCTGGGCATATACCGCGCCGATACCGAAAGTTCAGCGGTAATGTCATTATGATATACCATGGTTTGGACATTTCGGTCCAGTTTCCGCGAGCGGCATTATATTTTATGTAACTTTTAATCTGTCGTTCCAATTTTTTTTTTATCATTATTATTATCATCGTCATCATCGTGCCGACGGGCGAAATTCTGTGCAACTACAACACACCTGTTATAATGATTGAGTGGGTACCTATATTACTGACGCTAAATATTAATTAGTATTAAAATGCAGCTAGCACTCCTGCGGCCGACGACGAGAGATTTATAGTGGCTGTTCAATTAGCCGAAAAAATATATTATAATATATTGACTTTTTTTTTTTATGCGCTCGGACGGATACAACATTCGTGTGCAATTAAGAACGAATTTCAGGCACAAGGTCGTTTGAAAGTTGATACGCCGAAACCAATCTACATAATATTATTATTATATTGACCAAGAAAGTTCGTCGTTTCGTGAGGTCTGCGGCGGTCCACTGTGGAGGGGGTGGGGGAGCTCTCTTAAAATGCCATTTGGATTGTAAGAAAAAAAAATTGAATAAAAAATCGAAAACGCTTGCATGACTTGTAATTTTGGAGGTTTATAAACCCTAGGCCATAATAATTTATCGGTGACGGTGACGGCGGCGTTATTATTGTAATTTATTAGCGAGGCCCCCCGAGGGACAAGGCCCCACGTAACCGCGGGTGAAAACAAAACGGAATTAAATGAAATACGCGAGCTGCGCCCGACAAAAAAAAAATAAATAATAATAAAGCGCACGTAATTAGTGTATACAGAGTTAAGTGAAGTCGGCACTGCTGTGATTTAACGCGCTGCCCTTGCGCGCTACCTCTTTGACGAAGGGTGTTATTTCCAGAAAACTTTCCGCGGCGGAATTTCTCTCGATTTCCGAAACGAAATTATCCGAAAAGAAAAAAAAATGTAAAAATAATAATATTATACAGACCGGGGTTTCAAAGGGTATAAGTTTTTTTTTTTTAAAACTCGCGCAGTGTGTAATTAACAAAGGTTTCTTCTTTATACCCTTACCTAATTCTTTTTTTTATTTTTCTCTTTTTCGGACCTATAAATCAACGTTAATTACGGACGTGAATGTGATAAAAAATAAAATAAAAAAACCCTGCTCTTTTCTGCCCCCTTACGTGTATGGGACTCGCGTTCTTTGTGCAAACGAGTGCCCCCTCGCGCCGGAGGAATACTAATTTTTCGTTAGCCGACAATACGCTAAAAAATTGGTATTTTTTTTTTTTATTTGATAAACTTTTTAGACATTAAAATGTACGGGCGACACGACCCTCCGACCTTCGCACGTTCCGCCATCAAACTGTAAAAATGCAAAACGAAACGGAATGCTCGCTTGTAATAAAAAGTTATAGGTGTATATGAGAGAACGAGCCAAAAAACGCGACGGGATGACATAATTGGTTTTTGTTTTTGACGTACACACGCTTTTCTCGGTGAATATAAAATATATTATTATATATAGAAAAAAGAAAACTCGTAGTTGGCTATAGGTACAAAATATAGGCCTACGATTGCAAATGTTTACTACCAGGCTAATATTATTTTCACCTCGGACGATAAGACGAACGGGCGTCGCCGATCGAACAGCGATAGGAAAAACATTTTTTTGTTTAGTACCTATCTTATTATTTTTGTTTTTCGAACAAATTTCGAGCAGCGATATGACAAAAATGACCTAACACGTACGACAGCGACATGGAAATGCGGTCCAAAAATGAGATTAAACTCATTCGAAATTTTTTTAAGCGCGAACTGCGCTATATATAGATAGGATTACAAACAATCGGCGCTAAAGAAAAATATTACTTTTGAAATATGATAACTGAGAAGTTGTGACGATCGAGTCGGAGAAGAAAAAATATATTTTGTTGACCTGCGTGGAAAGCATTGCAAGACACATAGCGGACGACTATATTATTATCATAATAAGCAAAACAGACGAAATAAAAATTATAATGAACAGATGACGCGAATTCTATCTACGTTAGACATTAAACGGGTAGAAAATCTAATTTTTTTGACATATTTATTCATCTAAGCCCTTCCAATCTATACCTACGAACAGATCAGAACCGTTTTCGCGACATTAGTAATAATACCTATGTATTATTAATCGATTCGACGGCGTCTTTACTACATGATATTATAATACTGATAATGTTATAATATAACATCATCGTAGAATTCGTCAACTAACCTGTCATGTGTGTTTTGTCGGTAGGCAAGGCAGCCGTCATCATCGGCGGCGGCAGACTGGCCTGCAGGTGCTGTTGGTACTGTCGCTGGACCATGTCCAGGGTGCGTTTGCCGTCGTGGTGTTGGTGCTCGGCGCTGGAGCCCAACGGCGGCCACTGGGACGCACCAGCGGCGGCGGCCACGGCACCGGTGACCATGCCGTAAACGCCAGCCGCGGTGGACGCGGTCACTCCGGGCGCAGGTCCGGCGTACGGTTTTTTCGCGGGTGGCGGTCCGTCAGCGGCGTTCGCGATGGTAGGTCTACCGCAGACGCCACCGACAGCGGCCGCGGCGGCTGCAGCTGCGGCTGCAGAGGGCCTGCTCCGGCCGGACGACGAGGACGCGGCGGCGGGCATGTTGTTGACGAACAGGCTGCGGGTCCGGCTCTCGGCCTTCCGGTAATACGACGGGTGGATCATGAGCAGCGGCTCGACCTTGCCGCCAACCGGCGGTTTGGCCGAGCTGGGCATTTCGTACTCGACGCTACAGTCGACGTGCAGGGGCACGTTGAAGTCCTTGACCCGGTACCCGGACGGCCCGCTGCTGGACCCGGACGATCCGGATCGGGATAACGGCGATCCGCCTGCGGATCCAGCGGCCGTGGCTACCATCAGGGAGGACGGAACGCCGGCAGCGGCGGCCAGAGGGCTGGGATACGAGGACCCATAGCCCGCGATCACCGCCTTGTTGTAACACGTAGTGGCGTTTAGGGCCATCGGGTGAGACGACGACGGCTGCGCGCGACGAGATTCCGCGGCGGCGGCGAACACACGCGCCGAAGATCACCGTACGGCGACGACACACGCGCGCGCGGTTAACAACGATATTCCTCCTGGAGACACCGACGTCGAAAATCACTGGCGACGGTCACTGCAAGCATCTGGCGCACGAAACTTGATTTAATTATAATAATGCAAAATACTTTAAGAATTTAGTAATTACCAGATTTTATTTTTTTTTTTAAATAATTAACAATTTTATTTTATTATATCACCAAAACAAAATCAAAACTTTCAATAAATCAAAAAAAAAAAAAAACAGTCACAATAATTGAAACAAACGGCGCAGGTGTTGGAGACGAAATTAATGTGACGACCGGACGAGTACACTCTCGTTCGACGACAAAAATAAAAACAAACAAAAACACGTACGAGAGCGACGACTACACACAACACGAGTGAACACGGTCGTGCGGCGGTGCGCTTACTGAACAGTTTGACGACGGACACCGGACTGACTGGTGACTGGCGCGCTCCGTTCAGACGTATGCGGCGGTACACCGGCTGCTCGGGCGCGCGCGACCGGCCGGGCGACCTACGGTGGCGCTGCCACACGGCGTTTTCCCAGTCAGACGTCCGCGCGCCAAACATTTTTTTTCGGTAGAATAATAATAATAGTAATTTCCTCCTATACGCTGTTCTTCTTATTGCTGTTGCTGTTGTTGTTATTGTTATTGTTATTGTTGGGTTATCATCGTCCTTATTATCATTATCAGTTAACGATCCGCGGCCTGCAGACGAGAGGGAATGGGGAGGACCGAGGACGTCGTTAGGGGCGCGAACGACGATTTTTTTACCACGACAGTTATCGTTAGGTTATACCTCGAATATATTTTAATAATTTTTTTTCGCAGATCTTCTGTCTAGAATTTACCCGTGCCGCGAGACGAATTGAGCACCGCCGATTTGGCGATGACAAGACTTGTGCGGACGGTGACGTTCCCCTTTTAATTTTATTTAATATCGTTTCGTCTGCTAAATACATAGTATAATATTATGATATTCAGTGAACTTTGTTTTTTTCGTGTTCTTTATTTCCTTCCTGCTTTCCTGCCAATCGACCAATCGTACACCGTTCGAGAAAAACGCGACTCGCACACAGTGACATCGACTGCAACCCGAAGAAATCAGTTTTCCTGGAAGTCGTCGTCGCGCGCCTGTAACACGCATTATTTAGCGCGTTTTAAACGGGGGCCAACTATAATAATACGATAATAACAATATTATTATTATTATTATTAAGATCTTCGACCGTCGCTATTTTAATTGTTTCCAATATAATACGCGTTACGTTTTTCTTTAAATTTTTTTTTGTTTTCACGCCGTTCGCGATTATTACGCAAACGCATTGTTTTACACTTTCTCGCAGCGCCGTAGGTTCCTCTCCAAGTTTTTTCGTATTTTTTTTTTCACCGATTCGCGTGACCCAGTATTATGTGCCATTATAATAACAATAAAATATTATAGTTTATTTATATACATATATATATTATATATATAGCTGTAGTGGCGTTCCCATATAATATTATTCTGCTGCATGAGCGGAGCTAGCTAATAGACGACGTGGCCATTGTTCGTTTGTAAATTTAACGCTGACGAATAATATAATATATGAATATCAGCGACCATTATTGTAATACTATTGTATAATAATATTATAAATAGGTACTCGTCGGCCCTTTGTCATGCATTATCCAGATAAAAATAATTTTAAGTATCTTTTTATCTTTATCAATCTATATAGATAAAGTGATGGTTACTAGAACTAAATTATTCAAATAATCTTTTATGACAAGATATTTTTCAATTTTTTTTTTAGATTTTTTCCATGGGATAAGACATTAAGACGTATATTTTGTATAGGTGTTATTAGGTTATTTTATTTATATTTCGTTTTCCAAGTCTATTTATTTTTTATGACGTGTGTTTTCTGAAGTTATTTTGTAGCTCATTGCTTATATTATCTGGTAAACACCGAAGGGTAATCTTAATTAAATCACACTTATTTACGAGCGTAAAAATGTTATATTTTAGTTTAAATATAATACATCAAAGTGCCTTCACTGGATGGTTTCTTAACTCAAGACACTCAAGCCATTACACATACCTAATTTTAAAAAAAACCATTCATTATGCTTATTGTACTTTGTTTTAGTATAGATTGTATAATTTTCTAGATTAAAAAAAAAAAAAAAAATATTATGTTATTGTAATTTAAATCAAAAATGCTTTTTTACAAAATATACAACTTTTAATTTATGTTTTTTTTTATCTAGATAAATTTGATTACCAATCTTAATATCTATTGAATGCGTGTAGATACTTTTTGGGTTATCTTTGTAAGACACTGTGATCGTCGCATTATCAGTATAATATTATAAGAATATAATATATAGGTAGTTTTAAACAACAGCACACAATTTAATACACGGGTACCTGCGCTGTACATAATGTCATAATAATATATTATATTATAAGAGCGACTGACCGTTTTAATCGTGTCAATATCATATATTATTATTATATGCTCGCATCATCCGCAAAGCGGTACAATAATATTATAATATTAAGCGAACGTTCACGGTTTAATAATGATTGTGTATATTGTATTCGATAAACCACCTTCGTGTAATGTATATAATATAATATTATAAATTATAATATATTTGACAGTATGACACTCCCGCCCGTAATCCCTGCGTATAAATATATATGCGTATACGGCTCTATATATGCATCCTGTATAATATTACTGTATATATACCTATTATAATACCTGTACCTATATATATATTATGTTCGAGTTCTACATTTTATTGTAAGCTGCACAATCGACTGCATTCGATAACTCTGACGATTTTTTGCAAATATCCTCGGGCGTAGGACGACGTTCTTTTTTTAAAAAATTACCATCAAATCATAATATGTAAAGATATAGCAATAAGTACTGCTGAAGCGACTTCTTACGTGCAGTTAATATTTGTCTCGCCGTCACCATTAGATTTTGGTCTGAAACGTAATATTTATCGCTTGGATGGTGTTTTTTATATAAACGCGTAACGTGACTTATTACTGATGCTCTCAATATAGTATACCTAATACCTATTATGTATATATATCTATTTTTATTAACGTAATACGTTTGAAGTAGATTAGCACGAGAACGTGTCCTATATATTTAAACAAAAAAGTAGTTTTTTATGGCGCCATCCACCTAGTGTGAATATTATATTGCAATGAAAATTAATCACAACAAATACGACATGAGACTATATTATTAGCCTACGGCCCGCGCATTAAAATGTTTTATAACAATGTAAAAATATAAACTATCAAGTAAACATTTTATATTAATTTAATGTCTGAATTTTTGGTATCCGGTATACACGTTAATAATTTAATTAACTAAATAAACCTATTATACTTACAAAGAGTTTTAGATTGTGTGATATTAAACAATATTTTTTTTATTTCCAAATATTATATAATATACATATAATTCCATGACCTAATAAATTTACTAGGATATTCAATTTATGTATATTTATTAAATAGATTTTTTTATGAAAAACTGTTTTTAAATAAATTATTTTAATACATCTAATTAATTTGCATATTGTTATATAATCAAACGATTCAAGCGTTTAGAAATCAGTTATAAATTATTTAAATAAACAAAATTAATTAACATATTATTATATATTCAACTGTTTGGTAAAATACGACAATAAAATGAAATTTTTGGCACTGGCCATATTGTTAAACTATTCGTATTATAAAAACTAAATATATGTATATAATTTAAAAAATTTAAAAATTAAATTATTTGTATTACTTTTAACTGATTTTGACTTGGTACATAATACGATAATTTATGAATTAATCGTCTATTAATTAATGCAATGCACAGTCGTCAGTCAGTAGTCACATATACTACTTGTATATATACAAAATACACATAACCGTATACCACATAAATTATGCCACTCCGTATGACGTATCCCACAGTCAAAAAAAATAACAAATCCTTTCAATTATCGTTCCTAGCATTTAAAAAAACAATATACAGTCATCAAACAAATAATATTATACTGGTGGCTTAATTTATAATTATTAAACTAGCATATTTAAAACACAATTGAACTTGATATTGAAATGTAAATAATTCAAAATTAAAACTTACCATCTAATTAGTAGGTCGATTGGTACTTACTTTGTTTTACTATAGTTTCAAGCGATAAAATAATAATTTTGTCAAAAGAGTTAAAAATGTTAAAAGTATACACTATTTGATTTTACTATAGTTGTTATACAGTTAGGTACACATTATATTTGTATACTTACTGTTATTCGGACATGGTTCAGTATTGATTTCTTTAAACCTATACGCCAAGGACTTGACATACGATAACAAATTATAGTTTCCAAGAATCGAATTTTCAACGTAAATCAAATCAGTTACCGTTTTCGCTCTACGTTGGTATCAAATATGAAATAGAAAGCATAATAATAATAATAATAATAAAAAAAATACTAGTGGAAAAAACACAAATATCCACAGGGATATAGAACCATGCTGGACGATCGTCGACCACAATAACGATTTCAAGGGAGTTTCTAAATGTCATTTAAGGGTTGATTGTTTATCGACTATCGTCAGTCATCATTAATAATATATAATTACAGTTCGTATACGAATAAAAGGTTTTTTTTTTAATAATTGATATTTATATAGATGTATTGTTTCATGTGATTGTTCTGAAAAATGTACATTCATATCCATCTATTAAACGGTTGACAGTTCCAAATTAAAAAGTCCAAATAAATCCAATCGTATTGATATTGATTTATAGTGTCATACAAGTATATACACCATACGGGTTGGCACACATTACTCACCAGTCACGTTAAATAATTTCAATAGACTCGAAAAACAA